GACTAGAAAAAAATCCATGTAATGAATCTAAATGAAAAGCAGTGTCTAATGGTAAGCTCATAATAATGATAAATTTATCATAAAATAGTTTAACAATAAGTAAATATTTTTAATGTTCAGAATAAACAATACTATTTTATTTCTTGTTATTATATATGAACAAAATCAGAATAAAACGCAATGTGTTTCAAGTGACATTGAGTTTTACATAATAGAAATTTAATGAATTTTACAGTTTAGTAATTATGAAAGTGGTGTAAGTCCATTTATGGCCCAGAAAGAATATATTAGTTTGGATAAATTCACATAGAAGTCTTTATGCAATCAACTTACATATTTCTAAAGTCATAGAAACATTGTCAAACTTAGTACACTTTGTTTATATTTTTGAATCAACTAAAATGCAAATGTTTAAATATCTCGAAAGAAGAAAAAATGGACTTACACCACTTTCAAAATAAACGGTCCATATAATAATATACTACACTAATAATAGATTTTTTCATACTTTTCGGTTATCCGCCCTTTCAATTATCCGACAACCCAGTCCCCAATTAGGTCGGATAATCGAGGCTCTACTGTACTTGTAAAATTACTTTTTCAAACTTAAACACTTATAATGATTACAGAATCGCCTTCTATAAATTCAGTTAATATATACTCATACACTATAACAAAAACATTTGTACTTTTAAACTCGTAAAATTTAAATCATGTTAAAAATAAAATTTTAAGTAATTCTATAAAAGAAAATCTAAAACTAAAAAGTACGTATTTACTGAAATAAGGTAAATTATGTTTTTTTCTGTAATTTTATAACACATAAAAAATTATTTTTATATAAAATTTTAAAACTAAATGTTCATGCTTGAATGTTAAATTAAAACGTGTTGATAATGCATTTATTAATTAATTAAATCAAATAATTAAATACGTAGTATATCGTAACTAATGTGTGAATTTTTTGTAACAATGGATTTTTATTTTAAACTTTCAGATAGTACCTATGAGTAGATTTAATTAACATTTATATTAATCTTATATTTGATTAAAATTCTGAAAATTTGCAAATACTAAGAGATGGTATTACGTTACTAAATGGAGCAATTGTTAATTAGAAGAAATTAAATTTATTTGCACTTTGTATTTGAGATATTTTTTTCTTACCTATGCATTCAATTTTTTTCTTTCTTTTTTTCTTCTTGTATATATTTTGGTACAGAAGCAATCGATACCTTGTAGGAAATAAACACTTTTATTATTATCATGAATACGACTTATAACATAAATTAAAATACATTTTAAAAATTCTATGAAAAGACTGTGGAAATGATAAATTTTTTTATACTGATTCTAAATTATTTCCCAATTATTTTGTTGAATTATTCCTATTAACATTAACTGGGTTAGTGGACGCACTGATGGTAAACGATTCATATAAGTTTTAATCTGAATTTCGAATTTTAAGCCAAGATAATATATAAAATTATATACATATACATTATTTTAATTCACAATTGCTGAAATTAAAAAAAAAAAAAAAGGCAACAGTTGACTTGTTTATTCCAATTTACAGCTCATTTCATTCCCCAGGATAAAAATAATTTTTAAACAAACAATGCATTATATACAAACAATAGATAAATTATAGTATAGTTTAATATACAGTAAATTACTTTTTCAAATAGCCTACGGTTGTTTTTACAGAGCATTGACGAGGCTAACAGAATTGATCGGGGGAAGATGCCAAATTTCTTATAATTCTAACAAAGACCGCCACGCGCTGGTGCGTAAGTTCTCTGAATCAGTAGTGAGCTCAGAGGAAGCGGAAATGATCGGAATTCCTATCGATATCTCAACAGGTTAAACGGCAATCTTAGAGCCATAATACAAATAATATTGAACAATCAGACAAAAAACAGTCCAAAACGACTGTTTAATGAATCAAAAAGCACTGTCAGAAAATTTCGTTAATTAATGTTGTTTTACTTGCTTTTTAATCTATTCAAATTACTATTTCGAATTACAAAAAAAATTTTTTAACTTTAATAATTGTCGCAAATTACTTGTTTTTTGAGTGGGTCGTACGGTGAAAGTGATTTATTTTCTTGAGTATAAATGAATTTAAACTTAAAAATTATAAACATAACGGCTAATCAGTTAATCGTTAAAATTTTACAGATTGTTCTAACAATCAAAATCACGACCTAGTCCGTGCCATAATGTATTGATTGTATTTCATTTTTATAAGGAGTAGATGTTAGTAGAAACTAAGCCCTGTGAGCCAAAAGCTCTAATTTGAAAGTTCGTTTTCATTCATTGTTTAAAAGCGATTTTCACAAATCTAAAACTGTTAATTAATTTAATTTGCATAATATGTCAAATGTCAATAAATCATCATATAAAATTACTGAATAATGAATTTGCTCATGTGACTGTTATTGACACGGTCATCTTGCCAGTGCAAGGGAAATGACCAGCCAAATTAAAGGTAAAATATCAAATAATTTTAAGGTAAACTGATGTTAATTTATGTCGCATTTTTAGGTTTAATTATGAGCAGAGTTAATGGACGTCTTGATGTAGAATTTACATCTCTCGGTTTGGATGACAATAATGAGAGAAAATGCCAATAATGAGGAAATCTGTTTAACTCATTTTTTGGTGAGAGCACTATTGTAGTAATTTTTATAATAAATAATATTTGCTTATAAAATAATTTTTATATATTACTTATAAACCACTAATATAAATATTTACTGATGTATATTTTAAGAGTTTTGATTGCTTATGTGAGATCAGCCGGGGTTACGGAGTAGGTAGCACTCGTGTAACACTTACTCGGCGCTAGTCGGTAAGACTAGTTCTCTAGGATGCAGATCACTAGATCTGATCTCAAATATTTCATAGGAGAGCATATTTTAAAATGATCTGAACGGCGAAGTTCAGACGTTCGTCAGGTTCCCGACACCAGTTAATCGAACTTATTATACGCGGATTAACACGCGTATGCGATCTGATTCGGACACCCAAATAAGAGACATTTTTGAATAATAAACATAAGTATAATTTAATAAATCTCAAACAAACGAATACAAATAACCAAATACAACGATTATACGACAAGCTATAGACTACGGCTTAATCTAAGCTAATGCGCGTTCGAGAGAGAGAGCTCACAAATGATTCTAAACATACGACCTGTTAGTTGTCGTCGTCTTCGTTTCTGTAGATATAGGACACCTGGTAGATAGGGTTCATATTACTATCGTATGGGAGATCAATTCGTGCACAAAATATAAAAGATCACTTCTTCTAAGTGTAGACTCGGGACTTAGTCTAAGTGACTCGTATAGGGCGTTGGCCGTCAAGAGGGAAACGTATGTGGAGTTTGTATGCTTCGGATCTGTCGAAGAACTCGTCGCTAAACTCCTCGAATTCTGACTAATTTCTCCTTTTATTTCAAAATTTCGTCCAATCATCGTTCAGTAACTCTTTCGTGAGAACGGATGAAAGGGGGATGAATGAGGGGTAACCATTTCCCATCTGAGCGAGATTTTTAACGGATAAGGGAAAAACAGCGGATGTTCTCTTCTGTGGAAAGGAAGTGTCATCTGTCATCTATTTTTCCCACGTCTAAAACACCATTTTTCTCACCAAAAACGAAGTATTATTTTGTCGATAATTTAAACATATTAATAAAATTATTAACTTAGACCCAGGGCCTTTCGGATCTCACATTTATACTCCGATATGAATGGGAGTATAAGCAATCAACATACAAAATTTCATTGGCAAAACAAATTTCATTTGTTTTGCCAATGAAATTTTGTATCACTGGCGTGCCGTGACATTTGATGATAGGGAAGCTGTGTTTCTGTAAGAAGCCGACATCCAGGGACAGTCAGTCAATGGCAGGGACAGTCAGTCAGTGATGGTCTAGGGTCCATTCGTATCGTTTATTCGATAAGCCAGTAAAAACCGCAGACTTTCTAAATATATTTTTAATATCACAATTACATTCCGAATTGCTAGCCACGATATAAGGGCTACAATTAAAAATAAAATAATAAAAACTTTAGTCGGTGAAATAAAATGTGTGGTGGATGTAGCGGTACATACAAAATTTTCTTCAATTATATGAATATACTTTAAAAGAAAATTATAATTAAATAGACTACAGTATTTCGAAGAAATCAGTCGCCACTGTACTCGGCTATAGATTGGTTCGGTTAAGCTTTTGTTTAAGTAATATTCCGGCTCTTTCATCAGGCTTTTGTTTACGTCCCCATTTCCCTAATCGCTTAATTATTTAACTACTTAAGTAGAAATAAGTCGAAACCGGTTACTTTGTACTCGAGTATTTGTAGTCTCGGGAAAAAAGTGAAAAGACAAATTTTTATGACAAATGGATACATAAATCGTAAATTTAAAGAAAATAAATTCAAGAGCTTTTTCTGTACCTGGTGCATTTCTCATTCATTAAATTTAGTTGTAAATGACGCTGTCGAAGTAACGGTTAATTTTTTAACATTATACAAGAATTGTACACGTTTTTTTCTACATCCCCTTAAAGATGGGATATACGAAATCGTAATATCACCGGTTTAACATTGAAATCCGTGAGTAATATAAAATCGGAGAGCGGAATAAATATATCAAATATTTTAATGGATTTTTTAAACTCCTGTCAACTATNAGGATTTTGTTTATGTCCCCAATCCCCTAATCGCTTAATTATTTAACTACTTCTTAAGTAGAAATAAGTCGAAACCAGTTACTTTGTACTCAAATATTTGTAGTCTCGGGAAAAAGTGGAAAGACAAATTTTTATGACAAATGGATACATAAATCGTAAATTTAAGGAAAATAAATTCTAGGGCTTTTTCTGTACCTCGTGCATCTCTCTCATTCATTAAATTTAGTTGTAAATGACGCTGTCAAAGTAACAGTTAATTTTTTAACATAGTACAAGAATTGTACACGTTTTTTTCTACATCCCCTTAAAGATGAGATATACGAAACCGTAATGTCACTGGCTTAACATTGAAAACCGTGAGTAATATAAAATCGGAGAGCTGAATGAAAATATCAAATATTTTAATGGATTTTTTAAAACTCCTGTGAACTATTATACAGAACTATCATAAAAACATATCAGTAAATTCTTATCGGTTGGGTTAAGTTATAAATCTACTCGCGATTCACGTAATCGGGCGAGGGCGGCCAAATATCTAGCGGGCAGGCGGCTAACAGCCGATAACCAGTCCTGGATAGAATTGGATGCGGTATACGTGTAACATCCACCCAAGGTCCTAGGTTTCCACAGGCTAAACCGGGTGAGGTTGGTGCTCTGCAAAGCGCATGCGCGAATCTGGCTTTTTGGATGCTGACAATACAACGCTTCCACTCCGCCACTAATATTCGAATATACAATAGCAATCTTTTTTTTTCACGTGCATTATAGAAATTTGTAATAAGATACATAATGCGGTTATAATAAAATATTGTGCGATTATTTTCATATAATTAAAATTAATATGTATTTATTTTTTAGAAAATACAAAGGAAGCGGCGCATCCACCATTTCCACTGATGTTGATAGAACACTATCTCCTCTTTATAAAAGTAAAATACTATCAGTAGATTATGACCAGAACCATGATTGTAAGAAAAATTTGAGTTCTAACGTGGTTGACGTTAAACGCATTTTTCATAAATAAAAAGTGGTTTATAGAGCTATAGATGTACAGACAAAATATTATGTTAGTAAGTGTAGATAAGAAGTCAAGACGTAATACTATATAGGCTAATCAATTATTACAAAACTAACTTTTTTATTTATATAGAAAACAGATTATTAAACCGACAATTAAACACTTGTAAACTTTTTATGTTCTTTTCGCTGAAGCTATACAAAACTGTCAATAGAAAGTCCCCGAGATCTACAAAAACGTATTTATAAACAATAACAATAACGTGCTTCGATTTTGTCGACATTTTGATTGTGTGGGGATTTTAACCTGTTGAGATTCTGATAGTTTAGGGATTTTTATCATGTAGAGATTCTGGTATAACACAACCGTACAAATAAACTGCACCCACATCTCCATCAAAAGCAAAGAGTTAGTCATCATTATCCAATTCCCTATAATATTTTTAAAATAATTTTTGAAATTATTTTGCTAAGTTTAGTAATAATAAGGAAACACAGTAAAATTTCAGAAGAGAAAAA